CCCCCCCCTCCCTCCACTGCGGCGACCTACCTCATGAAGGTGAATATATATCACTAGGGCGCTCGGTGAATGTCCATCCCCAACTCCGTGCTCAGTTTTTTCGCGCCTGAAGTTTCAGCTGAAGGTTCGTCGATTAAGAATGTGTAAACTTCCACGAAGGCAACACTGAAGGTGGTTGTTAGAAATGGCTTTCAACCCCGTTCCATTCAACTGCGTGACAGCGGTAAAAAGGGTGAAACCACCCAAGGGATCCAGTATGAAGGACATCATATCCTCGTACGGCTTTGCAGGTATTTTCAGAAAAAAGAATCGGAACTTTTTGATTGTTCTCATGTATCGAAATCAGAGACGCCGCGGTGAACATAACTTTTGATGAGCATTGGTATTTTCAATCACATCTTCATGGTTCATACTATTGAAGTATTTGATGAATTCTATGAGATAATGAAAACGTAAGGATGCTTCTCTAGCATTTCGTCCAAGTAATGCTGGTGCAATAGCAGTAATCTTAAGCAGCAATAACTTATTCCCATTAAGAACGATTGCTGTTTCTTGATATTATTTGCATTAAGAATTGAACCGGTAAGATTGAGATTTTTCAACTGAAAATATAAATTTTAAAGGTGAGATACGCAATCCAGCAGGTTGCACACACGCACTTTAATTAGTGTCGTCTCCAGGAGCAGGTAATACAGTGGGGTAATTTAAGGATATAGAGAAGCGAAGACAGGAATCTTCCTGTCGAGATCACCGTGACAAGAATTCATCCATAAAACAGGTTTCACAATGCCAGATGAAAGAAGTTGTGCAAGAAGTTCTGAAACTGCACCAGCCAGATACAGGAAAATTGAATTTTATTACTGAAGTTCAACTCCTTGTCTCTTTCATCCAAACGACCTTAATGCTTGAAACCATCAGGAATCGAATTTTAGAGTGTTTTTCTTCCCCCTTTAAAAAGCTTGAACAGCTATGATAAGCAAGCACGCGGCCGATTTCCAACGAAATGTTTTCATCATTTGGTTGCATCAGCTCAGTCTTCAGCACCCTCTGCCACAGACAAGAATGACCTCATCCCGTGCTGCAGATCGCCAAGATCTCCAGCTAAGATCGCTGATCTGCTAAGATCGCTAAGAGAAGCTGCTGGAAAATGAAAATCCCAGTCGTGAAAAGCTGCTGCTGCGGGTGCATGAGCAACAAGAATGGGAGCATCGCCATCGGAATCCTGATGCTGGTATGCTCCAACGTTCCCACTTCTCGGAATTACGCTTCATTCCATCTTTTTGAGTTTTCGCGAAAATTGAAATAGAAACATTTCACCGCATAACATATAATAACATATTGGAAGGTTTTCGAGTATCACGAGTGCGAAGGTAAAATATATAAATATTTCTGAATATGGACCAATACATTCCAAGATCATGAATTTCCCCGAACGTCTCCTAATTCGACGCTTTCGTTTGTAGATCATATCTTTATCTCTCTTCGTGATGGACCTGCTCGAAATGACTGGATACACGGAAAGAGCCCAATACTACGCTCACCTTTCAGCGGAGCGTTGGAGCTTTCTTCTCAAGCAATTCGAAGGTCCTCTGGTCGATGTCCCTTTCGATGTTTATTTATTTTATTCCACGTTTGTTTTCGGAAAATCGGGAAAAAAAAGGATTAATTTTTTTTCGGAATATTTCGTTAATCATCCTATCTTTCGCCTTCCAGAATTCACGAGGCCGAACATCTTCGAAATGGTCCTCTTACCCCTGTCCATCATCCCAGAGGCCCTTCTCATCCACGGAGTCCGAAAGGTTTGCATCTGAGCTCCTCAAAAATTCGTATATTAGGACGGACAACTCCCCAAAATGAATCGGATAATCATCGGCCATCAGATTTTGTTTGCGGGTACCACGAAGATCAGGGAATCCAAAAGACAGAACTCAAAACGAAAGCTTCACGTTCCGTCCCCTCCCTGTAATTGGCAGGGCACGAGAGAGAGCGAAGTCCTTGACACGTTTGAGAATACCGTACGCTTAGTGTTAGTATAATGAAGTCCAAGGAAGACCTCTGAGCTCCCGGAAGACGTGATTCTTCGTCGTTGGTGAAGATCCCATGAAGTCTTTCTTCATAATTATCAGGAATAATGCACAACGTCTGGAGAGATCTTGCCCAGCATGCATGTGGATTGTCACTAAGACCGAATATCAATTTATTACAGGTCATGAACCCCGCCCGTGGTTGCAATAATATACATAATGTCGAGGTTTTGTGAAGGTTTCATTTTCTATTGGCAATATCTATAACATATTCTATGATAGTTTTATTTGTTAAATTTCATGTTCACCGCATGGATCAAGCAGAGCCTTTAAATTGTCCATGCATGTTCCTCAAATCCGTTCTTCAGGAACATTTTCTGAATCATGTGGTTTTCCCAGACATTGTCCACTCAACGGTATCCATAGCGACCTTTAGATATGAGTATGAACCTGCTAGCATCAGTAAAAGAACATTAAAGTAAATGTTTGTACGCTTTTAAGAGAATAATGAATAATTTGCGTTTAAAATATTTACTAAAAACGGAGGAATGGTATTCCCGATCGACACACGAAAATGTGCTTTGAGAATCAAGTTTCATCTCCAACCAAGGCACATGCCGCTACTTAGCTTATTTTCTAATTAGTATTTATACTTAGAGCAGGACCAAGTACGTTGAATACATCACTAATGTATTCAATGTACTTGGTCCCGTCCATAGAATCGAATTTCGCGATTAATAGTATTTTTCTCGAAGGTATCAGTAACTCCAAGAAAGCAGATGAGGTCATTGGAAAAGGATCATGCAGTATTTACGGAGAAGTAATTTTAAAAAAAATTGCTGAAAAAAAATGCAATTTTGAAACGTTTCAGAGGAAGAGGAAACTGATGATCCCCTGGCTGTGTCTGGATTTCCTGGCGCTGATGGCAAGCCTCATATTCTTCGTCGTCGGCTTCCTTGTGCTCGTCGTCCTGCTCGTTACCATGATGAATTTCTTCATTTTCATCGTCTTCTTCGTTGGGATCGTCGTTGTTTTCGTCGCATATTACGTCGCGGTCCATTTCTTCCTCGTCGTCTACTCTTACTTCAAGGTGAGGAGATGTCAGATTTCCATATGAGGGCCAAACATTGGAGTTAAATAAAAAGTTTTGCTCTTTCCTCTCCTAAGTTCAAAATATTCGGGCTGATTGAAACAAGGGAAGCAAGGATAACTGGGTTTGAATCCCATGGGAAGATTTCGCATAATAAGCATAATATGATTATGCTGTTTCAGAATAGCGCGATTTAAAACATTGTTTCTGCAGTCTGAATCGTCTCCTTCTGCATCAACGTCCCATATTTTCGTGTCATTCTCTGTCATTCGTTTACACTTTAAACGAATTTTTAAACGGAAACGTGTTTCCACCCGTATCCAGTCAAAATGTCGAAAACACACATGTCGACAGAACGATTGTCGATTACCAACTATGTCGAATTCCTGAACGTCGAATGAATGAAATGGTTAAAGTCAAAATGTCGAATGAGAGAAAAGTCGAAACGGACTTTTATTTATTCCATCAATGAAGTCTTTAAAAAAGGTATTGCCGAGCATGGGAAACAAGTCATGTCGAACACAGGAAAATTACACTTGGTCCACGGTCCAGGAAGAAAGGCGGTTAGAAGGCGGTTATATATGTGATAACCGTTGACATGCGGCATTCAAAAGCGAATGCGAAGCGTCACCCACTCGTCGCATCCGGATGTGCCACAGAACGAAATAACAAATCCCCATTGCATTTCAGGAAATCGATAATGCAGCGAAATCAAGAGGAGCGGAAGGCGCGAAGCCCAGCCAAGGCGCTCGCCCTTCCTTCACCTGCCCTCACGCGCGCCTCAACGAAGTGTGAGGCGCGCGTTCTTTAGCGGGCCGCCGTTAATACAAGGAAAGCGAGCATCGATCGAACCGTCCAGTGTGCCTGTGCGTGTTTTTACCTTGCTCTTTATTTTTTCTGTGATAATGAACAAATATCGACATGATCTCCGGAAATCAAAAAGGTAATATTGCAAGCACAATTTTTCCGCGGTTTCGGCAAAATTAATTTGAAGCGAAAATGTTTACTCCAAATGTGCAATCACATCATTTGCTTGCAACAAGAAAAGCAAGAAAAACACAAAAAAACTTAATGAAAGTCATTATGAGGGAGCCCCTAATTGGATTGGGCATGCCAAGTTTCGTCTTCTCTCTCCGTTTCATTGTGCTGTGAACAGTGATTGCATGATTTATGTGCTTAGGAATGCCGACGTGCTTCCATTCAAACTTCCAATGTCGGTCAATCGAGGAAAAATATGTTTAGTAGATACTAAAAATAAATAAGATTCTCGACTTCAATTGACTCCAGTAACATATATGGTTCCAACGAGATTTTTTCCCTTCTGGAAAAGAAACGCGTAACGCTTGCACCTTTGGAACGGGTTGAGGAAATCTCCAATAATGTATTTTATGACTGGATAATTATGTTTTGTAAACTTGTGCATTTTAACTGCTTTTAAATGTGGTGGATAAACCTCAGAGATTATAAGACACCCATGCGAAGATCCTTTACTCATGGATATGAGATGGCACTGCATGCATCTGCAAATTGCTAAATGACCGTTATATGAGACCATGAAAGCACGACTCAAAAACCATCTGAAAATCCAGTAGCAAAATTTCTTCATCGTCATGACTGCAACAAACTCGCTTCGTGTCCATCATTCGTAGGCATGTCCTTTGCCAATAACATCCGCGCGAGTCCTCCGCTCGTCCACCGTGTCGCTGTCGACACGATTCCCAGCGAGAGTGCCGCCCTTATGTTCGCCAGGATTTCCTGCAAGATCCAGGCGAATGATTCCTGTCAGCGGTTTCTCGGGTCTGCCACGTCGCGGAGTCTCTTGGCCTACAGCTTCTCTTTGATGAAACCTCCTCCCAAAAAAAAAGGCGAGAGGGTGAGAAAATCGGGCCACCTCGTTCACCTTTCTAGTGGTGTGGACGAAGGGGCGTCATTCTCTTGTCAACGAACTTGCGAAATTTGCTTGAGATTTCCCCCCCCCCCCCCAAAAAAAAAAAAATCCTAGAAGGAGGACATTTGCAGGTAGGTACCTTGGTCCACAGGCAATTTATGCATGGGGAGTTTCCTGACAATAATGCACCTAGAAACTGCAGAATGCCGGCTTATTTTTTCGTCATGTCTTTAGGGACACCCTGTACCTTTTAACCTTCTATGTCACCTTAAACGAATGCGAGAATTTGCTCATTGCTACGGAAAACTGACTCACGACTCGTTCTCGGTGCAATTCCATATCGTAAAACAGGTTACGATCTTCAGGGCGCCCACGGAAACATGAGATATCTTGTTCGCCTCTGAGAGTTCCCCACTGACGTCGGCCGAACGCCGATTCATTCATTCATTGCCTTTCCATTGCCGTCAAATGGTCAGATCCATCACTCTGTGCAGACAGAAAACCAGTCTATCAACATTCTTCCATCCATATATGCATCCGTCCATATATGCATCCGTCCATATACATCCGTCCATATACATCCGTCCATATACATCCGTCCATATACATCCGTCCATATACATCCGTCCATATACATCCGTCCATATATATATCCATCCGTCCATATATATATCCATCCGTCCATATATATATCCATCCGTCTATATACATCCGTCCATATCATCCATTTTACACATACACAAGAGGCTACTGTCATTCCGAGAAACTACTCCCAGACGGATGAACGGATTTTATTGATTGAGGTGTCAATCGAAAGCTCATGATTTGGAGGCGATACTTATCCTAATAAGTATCGCCTTATCAAAAGTGCAAAAAGTAAGCTGCGGACGTTGTTTTTATTGGTCCTCTTGTCTTTCTGCGCGTCGGAGGTCTGCACGGGTCGACTTTTCCGACTTTGAAAATCGACCTGTCCGATTCGAATCGTCGCTCTCACTCGATTCGGAACACGATCGTCGACCGATCTTTGCTGCTCCGAGCCGCGAATGGGTTGGGTGAATTAGATGCCCGACCGTTTCTCATTTATATGCATATACATAATACATTAGAGGATTATCTGTCAGTGTCGGGGTGTCATTCTCGGGGGGAAACCCTTACAAGACGGATGAACGGATTTTCAAGAGTGGAACGTGAATCGAAATCGTATCTTCAGAGACGCTCCTTCATGGACCAAAAGTCCAAAAAAAAGCCCTATATTCATATAATAAGGCCAAGTCTCGGCAACAAAAACAGCATCATCGCTTTCCTTGCGAAGACCGCCTAACGACCTGGAAACTCCATCGTCGACCGCGCCAGCCTCTCTCTGAACGGGACACGATCCGTCCGATCTTCCCCTATTTGTGCTCGGGGCCTTCAAATAAATTAGAACGATCCGTCTCGCTTTAAGGCTAGGTAGTGGAACGCGCCTCACATTTGCGATTGGGGTTTCTCTTAAGACGGAACGCATTTATTCTCAGAGGCTGACTCACTAGATTCCATTTCTGACTTCCGCTGTTGTAGGGAAGAATCTCATTTACGCGCATCGCTGACGAAGTGTTGGCGAATGCACAAAATTGAAATGTTCACATGGAATCATATATATTAAGAACGTCATGAAGCTGCGTGTGTACGAAGCCTCCGATGCTTGGGTCTGCGATGCTTGGGTTCTACGTGTGTATGTCCGCAAGTCCAAGAGTCCGCAAGTCCATGAGTCCGCAAGTCCATGAGTCCAGAAGGCCCCTTCTGCCTGTCTACGTTTTCCTCTCTCTGGAGAGCACTTTATTTCCGGCAGTAGCAAATTTGGAATCTATTCTCGAGAACGTTATTGCCCGGGGAAGGGGAGGGGAGGGGGGGGGGTGAGTTCGGATGGCATTGGAGGAATAAAAAGCAAACTGAAGGGGCTGGGGATGGAACCCTCGGCCTACTGAGAACTGCTCAGAGCGTCTTACTTCTACACCATGGAACCCAATTATTTTAGCATTCCTTTCCATGTCATCCCAAACACTACAACGGGAGAGAGAGGCATTCTACGCATCCTCACCCCCCCCCCCTACTTCGGGGGTGTTCACTTCTCCGATTCGGACTTTTCCTTATGGATGTGTAGAATGTCCCTGCGTATTACAATTGGAGATCCCTTTCATCCCTGGGGGAGGAATTTCTTCCTCGCCGGGATGAGATCTCCGCCCATGTATTTCTCAGGATCCCTGACCCCCTTATCGATGGGAACCCTCCCCGTACCAACGCTGCCAGCGGCTGGCACCACCAAGAAACCTCCCATTCCCACGTCCATAAACCGAAGAAGCATGGGAAACGGGTAGGGACCCCCGGGGAGCCAAAAGGCACGCCGACGCATCGGGTCACGCAAGTCCGAGCTTCGGAGTCGTAACGAGCGGAGAAGCTATTGCGCTCGAGTCGTGGTCGTGGCTGACATGCACGCCCCTTGGTGCCGGGATCCAAATGGCCCATGCACTCCATCGAACCGACGCCCTCAAGGATATGGTAGGCCGTGTACGGCCAGGTGATACTCGATCGGCGTAGTTGTTCTTTAAAATAAAACCTCCGAGTTTTTTTATGTTGCGTTGTGAAATTAGTCGTCGCGGTCTCCCAGGAAACCGAATTCTTGATTAGATGTAACGAATTATTTTTTACCAAAAGAAAATCATTAAAAAAATTTTCTTGCAAGCATCGTTGCAACCGGCTGTCAAGTATATACAGGGTGGCCCAAAATTAGGTATACAGTATAGTTTATTTGCATTTTATTACGTTGTTTATTACATTTACATTTGTTTAATCTCGTAAGTGTTCGAAATGTCTTCCATCAACGTTGCAACATTCCTCGAACTTGTCCAGAACACTGTGACACATAGTGACACACAGAAAAATAAAATAAATAAATAAAAACTAAACAACTGCATACCTACTTTTGGGCCACCCTGTATTATCAGATAGATGCTTGAGCGTCTGTATGTCCGCAAGCACCATGTGCGCATGCGCGGCGCCTTCTGGAGACAATTTCTTCAGAGTTGGCGTATGCTCTCACTATTAATAAGACACAGAGGCAAACATTGGACACGGTTGCGCTGAATTTACGCAATGACGTATTTTCTCATGAATCACTATGTAGCAATAGGTCCATTAATAAAAATCTCGGGTAAAATGAAATATGTATTTATATATCTCGGGACTCCGTTAATCCACCAGATAATGGGGTCCCTTTGTCCCGGCCAATAAGCGGCACCGAAAGTAAGTTCTCTGTGCGTATGTCCGCATTCC